AAACAATAAAAAAACACAGAAGCTCTGATGTGATTGCATCAGGTCACAGATAGCCTCTGAAAGAAAACTCGCATTATTCACCCTGTAAGAGTCTTATTAGAATGCAGGAATTCTTCAATACATTTTAGAAGAGAAATCACTTTTACTAGAAGATTGGAACACAGAGGGGGGAAATACATCATCTGTGGCTTAGGACACACTGAATTACTACAGCAGCTGAAAAACTGTGATGCAAATATTAAAGCTATCGTTGCCACAAAGAATAGAAAGTGTATGGATAGTAAGATATAAATAGCGAGAACTCATGATAATTCAGTATTTCCTTGTTGAACTCAAGAAGGAGTCCTCTCCCTGCCCTCCTTCACTTGTCCTCAACAGTATCTTGGGTTAAAGAAAAGCAGCCTTCGTGGGCTGCAATGGATAGCAGCAAGGATGACAGTATCTTTCACCCATTCCCCAGACTCCTCAAATGGTTCTCCCCTTTGCAAGGGAGGGGGAATGGCAGTCCTGTATCTTTCTTGATGCAGGGAAAAGATACTGAGGAGGGGAACATGGTCTGTAGTAGACAAATGGCTCCCGGCAACACCTCCTCACCTCTACCACTCTTCCACTCCCCATCACAGCCTACAAAGGCTACTTATTACGAAAAACAAAAGGAACTGGGGGGGAGACTCACTTAAGCCCACATCATTCCTAGTTTTATGTAATCTCCTCATTTTGTCCATATAAAATCCCCATAAGGATCTCATGAGTAAAAATCAGACTAATGAAACATTGGTCCAGATGTGAGATTCACCTAAACTGCTAATCCACAACATGGCTCGGCAGGATACAACATCACTAAAATCAAGGAGGACTTGTTGGATGGAAAGTACTGTACATCTCAAATCATATGCCAAATCAGTTTCAGAGTACTTCCAAATATCAAATTTTATCAATAATGGGAAACAAGAATAATAATCAAAATTGCAGGGGTTTTGTTGGTTGTGTTCTAAACCGGCTCAACTGTTCAGCCGCATCTAAACTCAGAAGTCAATTTTTTTGGGGGAAACAGCACCTCCATTCACTAGCCACAGCCTTCTAGCCCAAGTTCTTCCAATCATAACAGGGTTTTGTTTTTTTGTATTTTTAATATGTGCATGTGCAAGCATGTATGCACCTGGAAGTCATGGTAACCACCGGTGACTGACTGTGTGTGTACCTGGAAGTCATGGCAACCTCTGGTGACTGACCCCTACTCGGGGCCTGGAGAATATTCAGAGAGGTGGCTGAATAAAGCCTCCCCCCACCTCTGGTATTTCAAGGAGGTCTCCCAATCCAAGTACTTTCCAGTGTTGACCCTGCTTAGCTTCCAAGATCTGACGAGGTCACGCTTACCTGGGTTATCCAGGTCAGAGCTTCCAATCATAACGTTTAATGAATGGACCAGGAACTGAAATCAGGTGAACTCAGGGTTTACCACAATGTGGAGACAAAGTCTTATTTTAAATTCATTTGCATATGTCAGCTCTGTCTTCAGGTAGAGCCTCGGAAATTGAAAGTGCAATATATTCTCTTCCAAGTCTCAAACATCTTGATAAAAAAGAAGCTTGCTTCAAAAAAAAAAATGAGGTCACTAGGTGCACACAGAACATTTTGCATGTTTGGACATAATGTTCCCCATGGTTTGGTAAACTAGCAATATCCCTCAGACAGAGAGCCAGGGCTTCCCAACGCTGCTTCTTGTGACTGAAACCAGAGTCAGTCTCAGAAACAAAAGCAATCCCCTGTTTGGGGTTAATTTAGCCGAATGACCACATTCTCTAACAAGAGAAATAGCTCTTTTCCTAGCTAAATCAGTGTCTCAAATCAGGACCAGGAAAAATCTGAGACGTCTCCTTAATCATCAACACAAACCAGTTCCAGGTATGCAGGCCCTTGTCACTGCTCAAGATCTCCAGCACTTCATTTCTGGGCTCTTGACAGTTATCCGCCCTTAGCTTACTGGCTGAAGCCCTCATAGGAGTCAGACCCTGGAAAGAATAATTATTGCTGGCAGTCTCCAGCATCGCTTACTTCATCACCGCAAATGACCGGCTCACTTTTGTGCCTGCAATAAGCCAAAGTGGATTCCTGGAGCCTTCCAAACCGAGTAAGGAGGCATCATCATTATGGAATAATACCTGTGCACACCTCCCCTGCACAGTGGTGCTGTTTCATAACATTTGGGTGAAAATGTACTCCCATACACATACTCTAGCAGTTTAACTCATTCTATGCAAATAAAGATCCAAATTGAAGACCTCTGAGCTTTGCCATTGCTTCTTGGCTTTTCTGTGTATTAGCACCAATAGTACACCTTTGTCTACTCAGACTGGAAATGGCTCTCCAATGTGTTAGGCAGACCTCTTTCACACCACCAAGTACATGGTCCTTTCAAGTGGAGATTCCAGGGACTGAACCTGGGACCTTCTGCATGCAAAGCAGATGCTCTGCCACTGAGCTACAGCCCCTCCCTAAGCACCCTTAAATTCAGGCCAGTTGCAGCCATCGTGAAGCTGCCTTATACTGAATCAGACCATTGGTCCACAAGGTCTTATGTAGAGGTCTTTCACATCACCTACTACCAGATAATTTTAACTGGAAATGCCAAGGATTAAAGCTGGAACCTTCAGGATGCCAAACAGATGCTCTACCACTGAGCCACAGCTTCTCCCTATCCTTAGAAACCATTGCCCTATCACTTACATACGCTCTATAGTGTTGAGGGCATCAATGGATCACTGGATGCCCAGAAATGGAGGCATGTAATGTTTCGTTGTTCAATTTAGTGCATTTTTAGATATGAAATGTTATAAACCAAGGCATATCCATAATTAGGACTGTTTTTTGTCTGACCAGTCACTTCACCTGGGGTGAATTATATCCATTGTACTGTTCTTTAATGATCCCTGAGCAAAGACTGAATATTTTATACCTCAAACAAATCTGGTCATAAAGCCTTCATATTATCTCACTTGGACACGATGAAAGTTCTGCTCTGTTTTTTTGGGGGGAGCAGTATTTGATAATCAGTTGGAATACTAGTATTTTAGGTGGCTTGGGAATTACATACCAGGTTTTACACGTGCTCCAGCAATTAGCTATAAGAAGCATCATCATTAGAAATCTTTTAACTTTAGGACACAGCTTTCTATGTGCCTGAAACACTGAGCAGAAGAATTTATGGCTACTCCAAGTAGCAGATGCTGCTGTATATGCTACAGTTTGCATGACTAGAGTCACAAAACACAAGTCACCACCAATATAGCACATTTCTGGCAAACCAGTAATGACAGGGTACGGTGAAACCAGCTCAGCCATAACCACCTTATTCTAGGGCCTGACCTGATGTTTCTAGTGACTTTCAGTTAAGGCAAACCTGCAGCACTCAAGAGAACAGAAGCTTTAACGTAAAACAGTCAGGGGAATGCCCTAAAACCACATCGCTGGCTACGACGAACCAACAAAAAACAGTGTGTTCAGTGATCTAGTCATGTGCTTCTGGTACTCCAAGGCATTTCCTGTTCCAACAGGACTTCCATGGCATCCCACCCCTCCCCAGTGCTGCACAATTATTAGTAATTTGTATCACTCTCTAGCCTGCTTGGGATCTTTTAAAATAATGTATAGTAGTGCTTTTTGGTTATAATAACACACAAAATTTTCCTCCTTCATTTGACAAACTGGGATGAGAAAAAGGCACTCAAAGATGGGAGGTGGGGATAAAACATGGAATTGTGATAGTCTACACTAGGAATAGTCTTGCTACAAACTGTATAAACAGCTGAACTTCTGTACATTACAACATGGTTGATCACAGGAAGGATGAAATTTTCTCTCTCATTGGACCAGCTTGAAAGAAGGCATGCACCCATCTTTATTTCAACTGAAATAGATGCAAACCATTTTATCTATCTGGTGTTTATAATTTCCTCAAAAACCAACCGTGACAATAACTGCAGTGCAAAGTCTAATCAGCTTAGACACAATACCTTTTGATATGTTTCCGGGTGACTCATCTACAGACCAGGTGTCCACAACTCTGGAGAAAAGTTACACCCTGCCCTTTCTCTAGCACTTTCAGGACTAAACAGCTCAATCAGCAATTCAGAATTCATACAACTTAGATGAAGAATTTCAGACACACCCTCCCTCACAATTTTATTAAGCTTAGCTTAACCCACCAGTTTTTCCTCCCTAAAACCCAAGCAATTTAAGGTCTAAGATGCTTCCAGCAACAAAAATCAAACACTGAGAAAACTTTGGGAGGAAAAAAGTCAGCCAGTCTGTTTTAAACTACCAGCATATGCAACTCATTTTTCTAGTTACGCAATTTTCCCTGGGGACACAGTCTGCAGTCCACATGAAGGATCAGATTTCATGAGCAATTGTAAGGAAAATGCAGGGCCTGTGAATTTGCAAGTCAAAACTAGTGATGGCAAGAGCTAGGCTGACTAGCTTCACACATTTTTTCCTGTGAGATTTTTTTTTCTTTATAAACTACAGGAAACATTTGCTAAGATGCACATATGAAAGATAGCAAGAGGAGAGCTTAGCACCAGAGACCCAATTTTGCAACCACATAGTAACACAAAAAGAACTGAAGTATTTTATTGCAATAGCGCACACCCCTTTATTTTTATTCAGAGATGGTTTGGGTTTTTTTCCGATGGCATGTGTAGGTCACAGTTATCTTGAGTTTGGCTGACTCCAACAAAACACTTCAATTAACTGTTGTTAATACATTTCCTGCTCCACCAGAACTCCAGCAGAGTTAGCAGCATCCAGAAAAGTAGCATTTTGCAACACCCATTCCTTTGGGTGTAACTTCTGAGGCAATACTATTTTACAGCAGACAAAGTCAGTAAACCACTTTGCACAGTTGGCAGTCCTAAAAATCACCACTTTGCAGAAAATCACCACTTTGCAGAAACTCTTATTCCAAAAGCCAAAAAGTGCTAAAACAATCCATGCCTTACCTTTGTCTGACTTGCATCTCCCCTCTCAAACATCATCTTTAGCCTGCTCAGAGGAACGCTACATTTCTCTATCTTCCCTGAAGGATCCGGGTTTTCATTGGGCTCAGGCTTGTCTACTTCTTGCTGGGTCTCTCTGAGACAATTTTCCATTTTCCCACTCTCGGGTGAATGGGCTTTCGCCTCTCCGCTGTCAACACTGGGATATCCAAACTGGCCAGTCACTCCGGAAGAGGAATGGAGATGAGATGTAGGACCAATCCCTGAGGCTTTGTCACTTTCTGCCCGGGAGACAGAGCCGCCTTCAGTTCCAGCAGCGGGGCTGACAGCCTTCTGCCTAACCTCTGCACAGCTGCTCCGCAGCGTTTCCTTCCGAGCTTCCGTCCCCAATACCGAATTCTCCCACTTCTTCTTCAAGACGCTGAGGGTCCCTCTTTTAAAATGAGGGGGAAGATTTTCGGCATTCTAAAAAAAGGGAACACGAAGTTAATGGCGGTTATTAAAGCGGCCTGGAAGAGCTGTAAAGGGCTTCCTTTCCCAAAGAAAGTAAGGAGAATACTTTAGCAGGGACCGTAAGCCCTCTGCTGTTTCAGACAGCTGTGAATCGTTACAAGTGTGCCACATGGAGCAAGCTTGAATCCCGGGTAAGGAGAGGAGAGGGGAGGGAAACGAAAAAGGAGCTGGAGCAGGAAGTGATACAACAGGATGGCCTTATATGGAAGAAAGGGAGCCAGTCTAATGAGAGAGTTAGAATTTGAGACAAAAAGGCTCGGTTCTGCACAAAGGCAAGGGGGACAAAATCCACCTACTAGCAAGCAGTGTCTAGAAAGGATGGAAAGCCATATGAGATGGCTGTGGCCAAATGCTGCAGCGTTTTCCATCTGTTCCACAGGACAAGGAAGGGGGACCAATTAACAGGCTGCTTAAGAAACTGAGGATTATCTTTCAGGGAACAACTTGCTGCATCTGCCATACATCTTTTTGAGCACTGGTCGGTAGCTTTTCAAGCAAACAACCTTCTTCGTCACCCCAACTTGAAAGAAGGTTTCTGTGCACCCAGTATATAAAATTGATCAAGCACCTTGTTACAAATGGAACCAAGTTTTGAGTCCGGTGGCACCTTTAAGACCAACAACGTTTAATTCTGGGTATAAACGAGAATTGAGTGACTTAGCATGTGTAGTGGGTTCTTATCTCACTACACATGCTAAGTCACTCAGTTCTCGCTTATACCCAAAAGTAAATTTTGTCAGTCTTAAAGGTGCCACTGGACTCAAACTTAGTTCTCACATCTGTTTGTTAACTCTTTTATTATTATCTGCATGAGATTTGTATTTCCAACGGCTTTAATCCAACCTTAGCTATACTTACCGCTCAGTTACTTATTCATCTTGACTTTAATTAGTCCTTCCTGGCAACTAACCCCCCCCCCCCACCTATATGTAATGGTTGAGGAAGTCTTGTTTCAATGTGTGCATACACACAAAAGCCTATACCCAGAATTAAACTTTGTCTTAAAGGTGCCACTGGACTTGAACTTTGTTATATTGCTTCAGACCAGCATGGCTACCCACCTGAATCTATCTTCTTGTTACAAACAATTTTTACTCATCATTGGAAAGCTGTTAGAAGTGCCTATTAGCGTTTTAAACTTCAGGACAGCCACACAATTCTGGCAGCTGCCTGTAGCCAAAGTTCAAGCCTCTTAACAGCCAATATCCTCCTCCCACTAACACCCTCCACAAGCCAGTCTACACTCCAGAAATTAAAATACGGTACCTGCCAACGCTGCATCTCTGTAGCCCACTCCTTATGTATCTTACCAAGCACGAGACTAACTGCAAAGTGGAACAGGTCTGTAAGGCTTTAGAGTATTAAACAGGATTAGCAGCTATATTGGGATTTAAGTCTCTCACCCTATTACTCTCCTGGTCACATTTTCAATACTGCTTTGCAAAATGAACAAGAATCCCAACGTCGCTTCAGAAATACACAGATATCAATTTGTTTGCCTGGTTTTGAGCCAGGCTCAAAACTTGCAGGGGGAAATGATGCTGTGAGATTAGAAGCATCAGAAAAGTACACAGAGGAGAGCTCCACAACAGGGTTGCATATGGAAGCTTCTGTAGCTAAAGGAGCCTCAGACACCAACGCCTTGCTGCATACAGGGAGGCCTGGCATACTGGTACACTACGAGTCACATCCTGTGCTTCAGCTATTTATCAATGCCATGACTAAGTGTCCAGCTGGTAACCCTTTCCTGTTGCCTCTGCTGGTTATCTGCCCCACACTCACATTTACAATTTGAATTTCAAAACCCCAATGAATGACCAAGCTGCAGACTCATCACATATGAAATGGACACTTTGCTACCATCTTACATACTAGGCTCCTAACTCCATGTTCACTATTTATGCACCCAGTGATTCAGAAATAAGCAATGCTTCTTAAAGGAAGCAAGTCTGATAGCAATCAAAAAAGCAAGACAGATCCCATCCCAAACTTGTCTGAACAAAATGAAAAAGAGAATGCTGTTTTCCCCAAAGGGTAACCAAGGCCAGTAATCAAGTAACCTCATAGTTAGACTGAAAGGTTATCTTAAGCAAGCATAACAAAAGCAGAAGCACTGATTAAAAAAAATGCAAGCACTGATAAGCACTGATAAAAAAATGCCCCAACACCTACCTTTGATATACCAGGGAATTCAGAATAAGAGTTAAAGGGATTGAATCAAGACAGCAGCTCAATACATTTAAGGCAGGGTTGCTTAAATCTACTACTCTGTCCCCGAAACCCTTTCTGTGATTGAAACATCAGAGGTATTTATGAGGTTAGAACCAATATAATAGGGAGCAGTGCCTACTACTGGGACTATAGCCTTCCCCAGAGCCAGTTCATTCATGTTTCCCACATTTACTACGATTTATTCCATGATGATAATTAGAAAGAGCATTCACTGTATTATTGGAGGCAACAAAGTCTATCATCTAGATGCCTGTACAGAAAGAAAAGAAAGAGCAAGATGTCCTAGGTTAAGCTCAAAGTGGAATGGATAGTCAAGGGAATCAAAGAGTTAGAAGGACCATCTAGTCCAGTGATGGTGAACCTTTTAGAGTTCGAGTGCCCAAACTGCGACCCAAATCCCACTTATTTATTGCAAAGTGCCAACACGGCAATTTAACTTGAATACTGAGGTTTTACTTTAGAAAAAACAACTCGTACATTAACTTAAGATGATCCAAACAAAGTAAGGAAAGCAATCCCAAATGCTTTCATTTACTTAAAATTATTTGGCAGAGAATTCGACACTTTAATGATGGTCTGGGTCTGGCTGGGGCGATGGCACGCGTGCCCACAGAGAGGGCTCTGAGTGCCACCTCTGGCACCCGTGCCATAGGTTTGCCACCACCGATCTAGTCCAACCTCCTGCTCAATGCAGAAACAGCCTAAAGTATCCCTGACAAGTGTTTGTCCATCCGCTGCTTGAAGATTGCCAGTGAGGGGGAGCTCACCACCTCCCTAGGCAGTCAATTCCACTGCTGAACTTTTGACATGGAATCCTCAGCCCTCCATCTCTAGGATAGGCATTCCAGCTACACTCGACAAAAATAAAGGGGCGTTCCAAAGGTTGATTAAGCACTGCAATTTAAAGGTATATTTTATTAAACAATTCAAGACAAAAAACAGTGTAGATGATG